TTGCAGGGCCGTGATGACGTAGTCCGCGGATCCGAGACAGCTGAGTCGGTTCTCTCGCTCCGCCTCTCTGCTCCTCTTTCTCTCTCTCTCTCTCTTTCGTCTCTGCGGAAGGCGGACGTCGCGTCGTGAGCGAAGCATTTCGCATGATGCACGGGCGATCGTGCCGCGCGTAAGGTGGGCCAAAGCGGCTCGTAATTATAGGTACGAAGGTGGCACGAAAGAGAGAGAGAAAGAGAGAGATCGTTAAAAGCGGCACGCACACGAATGCCAAGTTCACGTCTACGGGGGGGAGCGACAGAATTTACGGACCTCTCGCGATTGTCACCCCGAGAGTACGAACACGAGGGTCGGGCGATAAATCGCGCGGCTGAAGCGGCGCGCGATGTAATCGCGCCGCGACACGAGAGTGTTTGATGAAAACCGCAACGGTGGGGGGGGGGGAGGAAAAAAAAACAATTGTGCACGCGCGTCATCGCGATGACGATTGCGAGGAGGCACGATTTCCCGGCCCAGAGCGCCCCCGGCACGGCACGCTCCTCGTTGCGCAGAAGTGCACAGTCTCCGCATTGCATCCATCCCCGAAAAAGTTGCGGCGGAGACTGGGAGCCCGCAGACCCCGGGCTGTCGCATAGGCGTCGAAAAATGATAACGGACACGTTTCGGTCGTCAATTGCGGACACGGTTGATATATTATTTTCGTACCAGGAGGAAGAGTCCTATCCGTGAATACGATGTTTCACGGATCAATGACATTTTTAAAGCGCCACGAAGTAATTCAGTGGCGATGCGCCCGCGGGTCTGTTAAGAATTGCAAATGAGTTCTAAAATAAATTCGTAATAATCTCAACGAATTTCGGAAACGCCTCAACCAACAGCAGTGTATAAGAAGTGGCGAGAAATCAGATCTAACAGCTGTGGCAAATGAAATCAATTTCACCTCCGCTGGTGAAACGTTGAGAGCCCTAAATTCTAAGATACTTAGAACACCTAATGCAATATTCCTTTTAATATTTTTATATAAAATATATGATAAAACATAAAAAATATACAATGCAAGTTTGTATGAAATTTAATTACTAGGGGCAATAAAAAAAATCGTATTTGCATCTTTTGCAAATGGGATAAAAGTTGTTTGTCCGCGAAATATGTTTGACTAATAATTTGTCGCGCATTTGTGAATACAAAATGAAATTAATGAAACATCTCCCTTGCAAAATGATGGGGTATTTTACATTGTAAATTTCACAGTTCGATATAACGTATGCTTGTATTCCTTTACGTAAATTATTATGCCGCAATTCTAGAAAATTCGTTCGGTAAATAGCCGTGCGTACGAAGTTGTTTGTCCGCGAAATATGTTTGACTAATAATTTGTCGCGCATTTGTGAATACAAAATGAAATTAATTTTTTACTCTTTTTTCGATACAGTCGCGCCCTTTTGAAATCGATGTTTCGCACGTATCCAATCGAAACAATATCAAAATGTCATTAAGTTTATCAATTGGGTTCCGCGTACAGCACGCCACTTGTACGAGAGACGCTTGTCGCACTCGTTCCAATTGCCCCACCCTTCGCCTCGTTTAATTACTATTCTCCGACTTACTATCGTAACTTTCCAATTCAAAGAGGACACTAAAGACAAAGAGCGTTTTATGCACGTGAGGCCGCGCTACGATTGTCGCACAAAATGTGAGCAGAACGAATCCGTTTTACGGTGCAAAATCACGAAACGTTAAAACACGTGTCTTGAAAACGTTACTCGGCCTCGCACTTGTTTTAGCGTAATATCTGGACAAAGCGAAGGTGGATTATACATAATGCACCTTATCTTTCAATTAAAACGTTAAATGCCTGTAAAGGAAAACTACCATGCAAGACAATTCTTGTTAATATTATTACATTATTATTATATTATTTTTCGTATAAAGATAGACTTAAGAAGCACTTCGTGATTTAAACACAAAATGTTATCGTAAGAAATAGATTGCATTTTAATTATCTTACATTAAATTGATATAGATTTTGCCATCTTAAATGTTTTATACATATAACGTTGTAGCAGAAAAATTCAATTTCAATACAGCGGGAATTTATTATATAATCTTTATAAAATTGTTGGACCTATTGACGTAAACGTGACGTGAAGTCTAAAAAGAAATAAAGATTATAAGCGTTCTGCTGTATTCAGTATAAAAATGAATTTATTACTAATATATATGCATTAAAAAATAACAATTACAAGCTCTATTGTATTGAAAATTCTCAGTATATGTCAAGGTGTTTTTAATCTTTATTTTTTACCATTAATTATTTATGTCAGCTCGTGTCAACGCGTGTAACAATTTCATCTGTTAACAAACGTGATTTTCTGCATTCGTAAACAAATTAACTAAAGCAAAATAAAAATAAACTGTCTGCAGTTTTTATTATCTAAAATATATTTTAATGTATGTATCCACTATTTATCTCCACGTCATATCTACAAGTAAACAGTTTATATAAATTTTTTTCTTATCTTTTTGACTTTAATTTACGGAAATGAAAAATTATAGCATTTACAAAAAATAAAGGTATTAATTCAGCCAAATAAACAGAAATGAAAAAGGATATATTACTTTTTCCATATTGGAAATATTTTAAAATAGAATAATTTAAATGAGATATACATATTTTTTTGGCCAGATAAATAGATTTCGCTGGCACAGTTTTTCATATAAAATAATTAAAACGAAATAATTTAAAAGTTCTCCCTTTAAATCTAATTTTCAACGAAAAGCAAGCCTTATTTTGCAACATAAATCATTTTAAAAAAAATCGTATAAACAAAATTGTAAGTAAAAAGTTACAAATACCAATAGATTTACATGTATCAATTGCATATATGCTCGAAGTAATTAATTATATAATAATTATTTTACTTACATTGATTTCATTATGTATCAAAATAACTCAACGTGGAAACAAAGTCGGTTCATTATCAAGTTCATTATGTACCAAAATAACTCAACGTGGAACAAAGATATATTGCGTTGCCAACGTAAACGCTACTAAAGAACGTTCGCGAAACAAATAACGCGATAGTGATAACGAGCTCCGTGATGTAAAAATACAAGGTGAAACATTGCGCATATAACCAACTTTTGGGGCAAATTGTTCATTGGTTCTTGCTGCATTCAACAGCAACGATTTGCAGTTTGAAGGTTTGGGGCAAATTTCTGATTGGTCACGAGTGCGCATCCATGGGAATGTTACACCTGGTATTCTTGCATCTTGATGTAAGGACATCATGCTCGGCACAGCATGAAGAGCGTTGGTACAACGTGCCGGATAACCACGTGCAATAATATATATTTGAAAAATACTAATAATATAGTAATATATTATACATTAAAATGGCATATATATTTTTAATGTATTATATAGTAATATATTATACATTAAAAAATAATATTATATATTAATTAACTTACTGTTTTCTGTTCTAAGTATCGGCCACGAAAACTTTAACTAATATATTTTTATTAGTTTCTGCACCATGCAGAGTAATTTCAACACGATTGCTTTCTATTACTTTTATAATAAATTAAAAACAATACAAATATCCAAACAAGACGTGCTACTAACCTAACGCTGTCGTCACGCTATCACCTACCACCTCGGAAAGAAAAGCGTTAGTGGAGTGCCACGCGGTCCTAGAGGTGCGCATGAGACAAACAAGACGAGATTTCTGCAATCTCGAATTTTCGAGAATCTCGATCTCGACGATATCTTGATGAGATTGACGATACAAAAAATGCTTGGTGTTCTTACCTTAACATTTTTTAAAAGACTGAAAAGATATAGCGTTATTGCTGCTGTATATTTTAGGTAAAAAAATTATGTGAAGGATTGGTATGTCTTGATACCTCGCCGAGCGCTTCAATCTCAGATCGTACGACAAATATAGACTTTCAGATTTTACATCAGTCCGTATAGAATCCTATTTAAATCGGACTTTGCTTATTACGAACTGGACTCACGACGAGTACCTCTTTTATTTGTTCCGCGCGCGTCCAAAGTCTTCCGACCTACAGTTTAAAGTAAGAGCGGCCGAGGTAGCCCTCGATTTTAGACATCGTCGACGAGACTCCACTCCATCCTTGATTTCGTCAACGATTTTCGTTGGCATTTATCGCAGAGGTAAACGCGCTTGGCGCGTTCACTGCGCATCGCGGGGCGCGATCCACCCTCGCCGTCCTTCCGCGCCGTCCACGACGCCGCACTGTCATCGGGCGTCGCGACGCAGGGTAAGGCACAGCCTCCTGCACTATTCCAGATCGATCCGTCTGGCCGACACGGGCAAACTCGCCGGGAAGTCTTCGAGGCCTAAAGGCTGCTATGTCAACGAGCAACGGCACGTGCAACGATGCCGAGCTACCGGGGATCCATATTCGGTATGAGCGGCTCGATACGTGTGCGATACGTGATTAATTATCGGCGATTACGCGGGCGACTCTAACCTCGGGGCTCTTGTCTGTTAGTGAGTGATAACTTGTAGTTCCCGTGCGCCCAGATACCTTGTAACTTACTTGGACAAACAGCTTTAATAAATAATTCAATCGATATCGGCGCTATCGACCGGATATCTTGTCTCGCGCGAGCGTAAAAAACTCGGATCGATCGCGCAGTGTGTTTTCGAGTCGTATCGAAGATCTTTATTAATTAACTGTTGACCACGTCCGTCGCGTTTCCTTTCGGATTATTCCCATAGTGATATAATGATCGCGCGAATGGCGGGATTAGAATTCAAGTCTGATGCCACGTTGACACGATGTGTATAATATATCTCTCTAAAAATCAATCAGTGGATTATCACTGAAAACAGCGAATGGTCACTGATTGATTTTTAGAGAGTGCAGTCCAACAATAGGACTCTGGATTTTCCTCGTCGCAGGTATATTGAATTACAATTCATTGACGCGGGATGATAAAAAAGAAATTAGTTCTCGCATTTTATCGCGATATGCGGACTCACTAAAAGTCAATCAGTGGATTATCACGGAAAGCAATAAATATCCGCTGGTTCACAGTCACAAGTGTACTCTCTAAAAGTCAAGCAGTGAATTATCGCTAAAAACAGTTATAAGTATAGCAACTGAATAATTCAGTGATAATCCACTGATTTTATTCAGCGCTGTACTTATAACTGTTTTTAGTGATAATACACTGCTTGACTTTTAGAAGGTATACTTACGGCTGTGAATAAGTGAATATTCACTGTGAATCAGTGAATATTCATTGCTTTCAGTGGTAATCCACTGATTGACTTTTAGAGAGTAGCACTGCAATTTTCAGTAGTATATTTATAGCTGCCAATGCAGTGACGTTTTCAGTGATGATTCACTGAATTTTTTTTCCGTGAATTTTTTCAAGTAAACGAAATAATTTTCATATCAATCTTCTTGCGGGATTATTTGACGACCTTTGACGACGGTGTGATAACATTTCAGCAATAGGCACCGCTCCATTCGCTCATAAACTTGTCAATTTGATAGATATCGCTAAAATATGTTTTTCAAACGTATTTTTATGACCAAAACTTGAAGAAAATGCAAGAAAAGATTGGGGAAAAAATTTTCATATATAATTATATATAAATATATGTATAGAAAGCATATATATGCGAACATTTTATATAGAGGAAAGTCCTCCATTATGAGATAGGATTCTAATGTGAGATAGCAGGTTTTCAACGTACAAATTCAATCACAAATCTTTTTTCGCAACGATTACACGATCCAATAATCAATTTTCCACTAAACAGATTTCACTCCAGGGGCACAGACGATGCCTATTAATTTAGCAGAAACTCCGCTATATCCTATTAGAAGTCCATCTCATAATAAAGGACTTTCCTCTACATATACAGGGTGTACTAAAACCACCGGATATCCTTTTAATCGCAGATTCCTTAGAAAATTTCAAGAGGAAAATTCTAATAAAAAAATGTCGAGGCTATGATAGTTTTTAAATAAGCGATTATATTTCACAAATGACAGGTCTGAGATTTCGCGCGCTCAGGCACGGCGACATGACGAGTGATAAAATTGTTCCTATGTGTTTCGCGAGCGAGCGAGAACCAAAGTCACCGTTTAACGGGACAGAAAATATTTGGGAAGACGATGATCCGGTTATTTTAAAAACTTGAGGCTAAAGAGAGGCAGGAGACTAGATTGAATCTAACTGAAAATTCCAAGTTCACTCAGAATATCGGAGATCGACTAAATCCAAGGATATCAGTCTGATCAAGATGCTCATCATAGTGAACCCCTTTTATTAATAAGACGTTACACAAAGTTAACAAAAGAAATGGTTAAAGATAACAAGAGGAACAATTAATTCGAGAATGAATCGTTAAGTCTGTTGTGAAAGTTGTCACTATGCTAAAAAGGGCGATATTCGTAGGAACATTTTTATTGTCGTATCGCCGTACCTGAGCGCGCGAAATCTCAGGCCTGTCATTTGTGAAATGTAATCGCTTATTATTTAAAAACTATTATAGCCTCGAATATTTTTTTACTAGAATTTTTGTCTTGAAAGTTTCTAAAGAATTTATGATTAAAAGGATATCCGGTGGTTTTAGTACACCCTGTATATAAAATATGTGCATATAAAATGTTTATACGTGCTTTTTTGTTGCTCGTATACAGGAAAAATACTAAAAATTTAAAAATAATGAAAAGAATAATTTCCGAATAATTTATAATTTATAAATTTTCAACCGAATCTGGTATTAATGAATTAAATTTTGTCGGATTAATTAATTTGGTATTTATCGAGTCTTTTGTTTCTTCATTCGACTTGTCGTTTCATACATATTCGCCGAGATCTCGTGCCCCCGCAGTGCACATTCTCGTCTGATTTTAATGAAAGTTGACGCTTTCGGTCGTAGATAGCAGCGGCGGACGGTGATCGCGAGTGACGCCATCTTCGAGCAATTCGACGAATCACTCTTATCTCTCGTGCGTTATTTTCGTTACTCGACGGACGACAGTGATACTATACGTTTGACGTAACGCCGCGGCGACGTAGTGTATGGTGTTTTGTTTACGAAAGGACCTCCTTAATTCACGAGCATGAGCGCCGCGAGATAATTCGGTAATTATATTTATTCAACATAAAATAATATGCGTGCACGAATAAAGGGATCCGCGACACTTGTGGCACTACGTCAAAATTGAAGAGAAAGAGATACAGATAACGACAGATCGAGAGAGAGAGAGAGAGAGAGAGAGAAATCAAAAGATTGATTTTGTTTTATTTCCGAGTAGCGCGACGCTCGAGTGTCTACGCAATTCCTCGAGAAATACATGTCCTCTGACGTTTGCACGATCAACAGTCGCACTTGCGACGTAATTGCACCTCGCACGGTAGGCTAGCGTTCTTGCTCTCACGCGCTTCACATTACCTATACAGAGAATGACAATTCCGAATCTCTAAATGCTCGATGAAAAGAAGAACCTTCCGCCCCCTCCGCTCTTGTCGAAATTAACATCGTACGGATGTGGTACAATAATTAATTCAGTATGCACGTAGAACGTAGGTCAACGCTGGCCCGGGCTCTCGAACGCTCCTCTAGATAAAATGGTAGAGTTCCTCGGGTAGGAGACCTTCGACGCCGCCCGCCATCTTTAGACTAACTGTGGCGCGCTTTTCAAAAGCGGCTTCTAAATCTATGCGGTTTATTGATAAAGAAATTCATTTAATTCACTATTTTATATTATTATTACCAGGGTTGGGAGGTAAAACTCGTTACTTGTGAGTTACGAGGTTACGGTTAAGGGCAAGAAACAGAAAGTATTACTCACAACGGAGATAATGGAAATGTTTTGTTTTTCAGACTATATCCATAAGGCGAGTATGTGCAGGAAAAAAGTTCGGAGTGACAGACAATTTGACAACGTGGATTATACACAACTTACGGAAACCGATAATGGTTTCTTTGATTCACAGGTGGGTAAGAAAAGGATATAGCAACTCAGCAATGTAAAAACTTATTTGCGTTATTACCGCGCCTTAGAAATTATCTTATCTCAAATTATTTACTATGCGTAAAATATGGATATGTTTTATGCAATCATTGTGCTATCAGTAAACGTGATTTTTTTCAACTTTAGTTTGTAAGCCCACCAGTTAAGATACCATGGAAGGCTATTACGTTAGCAGCTCTCCTATTTGTTGGAGGAACCATTATGCTCATAATGGGAAGTTTGATTGTGAGTGGACACATCGATTCAAAAGTAAGATACCTTATGTTATGTACATTATATAAAGTTATAAATTGTATTATACTGTACGGTTTTCATCAAATAATAATTTTAAGCAAGTATGAAATGAACTTATTTAATATAAATTAGCGTAATCTACGTATGTGTGCTGACAACTTGTCGACGGATTTGTCGAAATCGCATGTTAAGATAAAAAATTTTTATATTGCAGTATTCAGATCGGATGTGGCCAGTGATAATTTTAGGGGCCTTGATGTTCATACCAGGGGCTTATCACATGAGGGTAGCTATTTTAGCGTATCAGAAAGTACCTGGTTATTCTTTTGATGATATACCTGAATTCGATTAAGACTACATGCGATCTAAGATATACGTGCACACAGTACTTATTTATTGATTTTATTTAAAAAGATAAATTTAATGATGAAAAATCGTTTGTTTATACAGTGGATTAAATTGCAAAAAAAAGAATATATATATATATATATGGAAATATATATTTTTGCGCTGGTATTTTGTATAGAGTTAAAATAGTAAAATGAAACACATTTTTGCAATTTATGACTATTACCACTGTGTTCCTTTATAAAGTATCTTCTTTACGTTTACACAAATGTCAAAGAGCTATAATGTAACATTCAATTATCAAAATAATAAAAATAATTTTAAATTAAATTCGTCTGTACTTTTAAAAAGAGTTGTGATTGAAATACAGTATTTATTATGAAATTTTGATGAATGACATAATGTTTCCACGTTTGTATTATTTTCTCAGGCCCAATAAATATATGTATACACATATGTAATATAAATTTATTATTGTATGTATACAGTTTTTTAAATTAATTTTCTCACTAAATAACCTTTGTTTATTTTATACATACACATAATTTTATACACCCAAAGTAAATAATCCCAAGTTTATATAAGATTGATTATATAAGATTATATAAGATTGATTTGTAATAACATATACGCGTCTTAAAAGATACAAAACTATAAATGTCTATGATATAAAAATTAATCAACATACATATTTGTTGTGTCTCTCTTTAGAAACTTTTTAAATGCCGTGTAACGTAATGTAGAAATTATATAAAAAAATCTGAATAAAGGTTAAATCACATGGAAATATTTTTTATGAAAGTCTAAAGTTGGTTTAGTCATCTATTAAAGTTCATTAAAATTGTTTTAACTTCTAACCAAACTAAATTAAGTAAAAACATAAATATGCTTGGCATTATAAAATAAAAGTTGTTCTCAAATTTTAAGACTGTATGTTTTGTTCGCACATATAATGCACCGTCACCTGAGTAAAAAGTATGATATCAACAATGTTCAGCTTTTAAATAATTTATAAGACTTTTGCTTTGTAATCGATATATTCTGTCTTTACCACCTGACTGTAATAATATAGGTGGGTCAAATCGTTTCTTTAAAACATCTCTGATTAATGCTCTCAAACTCATAATAGCTTTATTATTATTATAATTCTTTAATTCTGCGCAATGGAACCGTTTGCTAGTCGATTCTATCTGCAAATTAATAACACAAAATGTACGATTGAAATGCAGTATAAATAACAAAAATAAAATAGAAAAGACATTATTGTTATACTAATTAGTATATTAGATAGAGATACACAGGCTTCGCGCACGAACTTGGCGCGAAACACGACTGCGTCTCTTGATGGGAGAAGTTTTAAACATAATTTGTAAAAATCTTATTTATAAAAATGTTTATAATTACCTCCAGGATAAGGTATACTTTGATTTGTTTAGCAAACTCAATCGCATGTCCAAAATTTACTAGAAGATTTTTTAACAACTGCAGAAATGTAAGATATATCTCTTCCTCTGTCAAATCATTTTTTATAATAATATATGTTACTGGCCACAACTGTAATGTGAAATGTATGACAAATATGTCAAGTAATTTGAATTAGGTGATTTAAGAATTACTAATGTTAAGAAAAAAGTATACGAAAATATTTTTCATAAATCGAATCAGATGTATAATATATTTTTATTAATTTTATTTATTATTAATTTGTAAAGAAAGTTACTTATATATTTACCTTCATTTGTGGGTAGACACCAATGCCTTCTGCATAATTATAAATTTGCCTGGCAAGATTCTCGTCCAGGTGAACTAATGTTGAAGTTAGTGCGCGACACACTGTTGTACTCAACGCAAAAGTATATTTAAGTACTAAATTAGCCATCTCTATGATTAAATCTGTGTCTTTTTTTAACAAAAATAATACTATTAATTTGCCCACGTAACGAGATAAATCTAAAACGGTGAAAAATAAATTTTATTGAGGAATACAATGTAATTCTAATTAATTTGTAAATATGATAATGAATCACGAGAATATGTGCATTAAAAGTTCTACCTCACCTATTGGGTAATACTGACTGCTTTGATCTTTAAGTAAAAATTGGAAAAGGAAGAAGGCGTGTTCAACAAGTTCATTACAAAACGAATCCAATAAAATGCACATTATTTTGCTCCGTACACGCTCATCGTCAATAGTACTTTGAACATACCACTTATCGCGACTAGTGCATATAATATTTTGGCCTGAAAAAATGAATACACATTTCGTTAAAATTTAATTACATTCAACGTTAACGAATTTTATATTAAGAATCTTTATATTTTTATACATACATTATTTATATGTATATTCAAGTTTTGAAAAAAAAAACGATTGATTTTTGCAAACTAAACTCACATTTAAGTACATCGTATGCTTTTATAGCCTTTTCGTTAGCTAAGTAAATTTCAGCCGAGAGTAAGTAATACGTGGCATTATACGATAAATTATACACATCAAGTAATTGAATCAATAATAGTGCACGCCCCCAGGCTTCCTTGACCCCTAAATTGATCAAAATGTCTGTTATCTCACAGGACATTTTACCTAGAATGTCAACGATACCCACTTGGACTGGAAAGTCCAAATGTGTGAATTAGGTAAAATTATAAATAAAATTTGCAGTCTAAAATTTATTAAAAGTTTATTTATTTTATTTATTATATGTTACAACATAGGAGATACATAAAATATATTCAGTACATACACCGTAAGGTATTCCTAATTATCAGTAAAGAATATTGTCTCATAGTTTAAAATAAATCAAATTAATATATTAAAAGAAAAAATATTTTGTAATTTAAGTAGGTAAATTGGTTGAGTAAAAAAAAGGTAGAAAATTAGTCTAAACAAATCCTTTTTGACATGTATAACTTGATGTTCAAAATCCACACAACCTTATATACGTTAGTTTATAATAATTGATAGAGTATAAGTTGCATTATAAAATTGGTTGTTTTCATATTACAATTATTTCATCATTAATGTGCAATATGAACAATGAGAAGAAAAAAAACACTTCAATAAAGCAAGATTGTGTACAATGTACACAGTATGTAATTATAATACAGCCTATACGTTATCTAAAATATCTCACGCATTTTATATGTTATTAAAAAATTTTTTACCTGTACGACGTATGACGTTTGCTAAGTGGTACTCTGAACGCTTTATCTCTGTTTGAAGTTTCTTACAACAAGAGCGAGTATATAACGGAGTATCATCTTGCTTTTCTGCATAACTCTTTAACATATTAATAACATAATCGTAATCATGATGTAAAAGTCCTTTTTTAAATCCCTCTAAATCCACAAAAAATTTCCAGTGATTGATATGATTTCTGTAAGCGGATCGGGGCTCAGGTAAATTATCTAAAAAAATTAATAAATAAAATAAAAATAAAAAATAAAATAAAAATTAATATAAAAATATATATATACATATGCATGGAAAAAATTGATGTATTAACAGCATTGAGAGAAAATTAAAAATAATCTTGTAATAACAGTATTAATAAAATATGATTTTATTAAGACACGAGCTCGAATATTTATCTCATTAATAGGATTATTTCTAATTAGACTGCTGTTGACTAATGCTATTAATACTTTTTTCTGTGTGTGTGTGTGTGTGTGTGTGTGTGTGTGTGTGTGTGTGTGTGTGTGTGTGTGTGTGTACGCGCGCGTTCCTGTGTGTAAGATAATTGTTTTAAAGGTTTTTTATAGGAAATATATATACGCATTCATGAACGCGCAAATACACACATACTTTCTCTCACAGTCAATAAAAAACAATTACCGATAGGTCGTAGTATATAAGCTTCTCCGTTCTCTTTGGTTTCCTTATTTCCATTTGTACTTTTATCTATAAAACTACTACTGCTCTGTGGAGATTCTATCTGTGATAAATTTGAATTTCCATCAGGAGAAGCAATAGTTTCCGATAACTTTTCTCGACAGTCTTGAATTAATAACGCAGGACGAGGATTGTTTTTTCTTGCAGTTTTCTCAGCCAATAAACTTTTAAAGCGTTCTAAATCTTTGCCCAATTTTGACTTAAAATAATGAGGAAGTTTACTTATCAAGTTATCGTTAACATCTTGAATATCAGTCAAGTTTTCATTCTCTATGCATTCAGTTAATATCTTCTTCATAACATCCATATAACATCCATATTCAAGTGGCAATTTCAAAACTAAAGTTCTTACAGTATTCCAATATTCACCACATTTGATGTGTTTTTCGATGCTTTTTAACATGTTCATAAGATCGTTTGAATTTGGAGATGGAATGCATTCTATCCAACGATTTACAACTGTTTTTACAGGTATTTGTCTATTCAATAACTCCTCAATAGTATATTGCCCGATGTCCTTTAAAAAGTTGGGTAATTCAGCCTTTGAATAGTAAATCACTTGGTATATTGTTAAAATCTGCTCAGTGGTTAATTTCCTTAGTAATGCTTTGTACAACTTTGTGCAAAAAAAAATATAGTTAAAATCTAATGCACCCTTTATTAGACCTAGTATTGCTGTAAAATTTCCCGAGCCAACCGTAGTAATAAGATCCTGGAACTAGACATGAAATCAAGTTATACGAGTGGTTATACAGCGGTTATAAGAAAACAAAGTAATAAATAAGTACACCTACTTCGTGGTTATATCTACATTGTTGCCTCACACAGTAACCCTTCATCAAGGTTTGGAAACAATATCCATAGAGATGGGATCTAATATTAAAGTTGCTGGTATTTCGTAACCTTTGATTTTGTAATATTCCTGTGTTTTTGGCTTCAGGTGGTACTTTTGATACAGTTTCAGTTTCAGGCACATTATTTGTACGTATAGCCTGTCGTGATTGACTGTAGAGTTCTTTTTTTGTTTCACCAGTTCTATTTGAGAGTTTTATATTTTCTTCAAATTTGGCATATTCTTTATTAAATTCAGTTTCATTCTGTTTTACATATTTATCAAAACTGTTAACAGTCATCTCATATGGTTCATCAAAGTGTAGAGATAGAGATTTGTTCGGTTTATTTTGTACACTTAAAATTGTACTTTCATCGCTGTAAAAACAATTTTTAATTACTGAAAATATTGCAACTTACACAATAAATAATATCATATTACAAAATATAATAACCATGTAAAAAAAAGATCAACTTTGTGGAAAGTAATAAGATAATAACAGAACAATATAATATTAAATTCTGTCAAATTTTTTGCTAATTTATACTTACAAATTTGTATCAAATGATTCTGCAAACAGAGAAATGCAATCACCATAATCATCTTTATCCTCGCTAGTTTCAAACTTCTTTTGCGCATTAGTATCTTCATGAATATCTCTATCTATTTGGTTGATATGTCGCGTTTCTTTCGGTGTACTTTGCAATATGCTACCATTGTTACACTCATCTGTTTGAATATCTTTCTCCCTATACAAAGTTTTACTAGAAGCTGGTTCTTTGAAAGAGAACTCTTTATGAAATTTATCAGTTGTCACCGTATTTGTTAAAGTAATTTCATCATCCAAATGCACTTGCTCAGATTCTACAGCTTTATTATTAAGCTTATCCTCAGATGTTGATAGTTTGGAAAATTGTTGTGCTCTTTTTTGGTTCAAACATTTACGCAAGTCTATTAGTTGCCCGTTGGAATTATTTTCTTCGGCTAAATTTGATTTTACTGTTACCATTGTATCGATATTTGAAGAACCATTAAATTGTTGACGATTGAATGATTTGGTATCTGATGTTACAATCTTCTGCATCCAATTGGTTCTGTTTAATTTCTTCTTTGTACTACTTGTAGTACTTATTTCGATATGCTCTCCGTTTTGTTTTGTAACGGCTTCTTTGTTAACAAGTATTAATGATCTGTTGATATCCCAGTTTTCACTTATGTCCATAAAACCTGAAGAGCTTTCGTTTAAAATGCTCTTATCAGAATTTATTTTATTACATGTTTTATCACTTTGTAATATTTTACTTTCACGCCCGTCTAATTTATTCGATTGCTTTTGGTGGTTCAAAGTACAGTCTTCATATGTTGTATCACTATCGGTCTCGCAAGCGTTTACATTGTTATGAATGCTATTTCTCGTTTCCATCGTTTCCACCGAAGAGCTCATCGAAGAATCGTATTTATGATGCAATTTATTATTTATGCTTTGATTTTTCAAATTAATGCTAAATGATCCGTTTATTTCAGGTGTAGGAGATACTTTTTCTGTGAGAAGTGAATTTTTTGAAGTGTTTGCGGATTTAAATGTATTTTCAACGCACGAAACTTGCTTCACGTTGCTATTAATACCATTACATCTATTTTGTCCCTGCTTAGAAAGTCTATTCTGTGAACTTCTGTTATTCGCTCTTACTTTCACAAATTTTACTGTACCTTTCGGTAAAACATGGTCTTCAGTTATTTTGGGTAGTTTTTTTTTCGTTGTTTCACTTGTCTTACTCTCACATTGTAATTTAGTAAGAGCAACAGTAACGGGAACAATGTTAGGACAAGTTTTGGACACTGTTTGAGGGGTAGGTTTCACAATGAGTGATTCTGTAGAATCTGTTGCCTGTACAGTACTATCTGTGTCGCTTAATATCCTCAGACAGTTTTGAGCTTGGTTTTTACTCATGTTATTACATGTTTGATGGATCAGTACAGTACTATCTGTAGCAAGAGATGAATCACTTGATCTTGTTCTCATACGTTTCTCGCGTGGATTTGTATCTATCTCGCATGTTTCATGGATAGGCTTCAGACCGAATGGTTCTGAAACATCAGCTGCCTGTTCAGTGCTATCTGTACTAAAACTTGTGCTTGATATCGTTCGCGTACACTTTCGCTTCCGACTTCCATTATTATACGTAGTCAAAAGTTTGTCGGAAAGATTCGCGTCCTTAGATTTCAAATTTGTCTTGATATCTTGAGATTTTTCAGGAATTTCATTCTCCACATCCGTGTTAATTATATTTGAGCTCAATATACCTGAAAAGATCAAATCCGTTTTATAACATTCTTAAGTTAAATTTTTAATGACTCTTGTTTCCAAAATATTATCAGACGTAAAATTAATAGTAAAGTCAACGGCACACGATATTATTTTTCCTATTAGATCGCATACGTGAACCAACAGGGATGCAGAGTTTTAAGCCAACGGCACACGATACTTAATTTGCCTACTGGATTGCTTACGAGAGCCAATCAGGTTTCAGCTTCAAGTCACCTGATCTGAAACTCTGCATTGGTTCTGGTAAGCAATCCAGTGGGAAAAAAATAGTATCGTGTGCCGTTGTGAATTAATATGTGCGTACCTTTCAAGCTTTGAGTCTTGTTACACTGTTCCAATTTCAGTATGCAAACAGTCCTTTTGGTAGCAGCAGCCGTATGCGCGTTATTCTCTTTGATGGAGGAATATTCCGCATCAGACTTTTTTTGGGGAATCTCCTCTGGAGTACTGTCATTGGATATCTCTTGCATCTTGCTAGTATAATCAGTAATGGTTAAAATCTTTTCACTCAAACAACTGTCATCTTCCGTGCTGATTTTAACCGAGTCCACACTTGTGCCTGTTTACAGAGAACAAAATGGATAAAAATTTACACGCAATTAAACAGTACGGACAAGACGATAAGATATTACTTGATTCGAAGTACAGCTTTCCATTTTTCACTGGCGCTCTCCGTGATGTAGAACAGCGTCGCCTCTGACTCTTGGTCTTCTTTTGGGTGCACGTACCAAAGTACGGGCCGCAGGATACGCTAGACGCGTCGTCATAACTTTTACTTGAAAGTGACTTAACACTAGTATCACACTTTAATTGCTGTTCCTGCGTTACAAATCCAGTTTGAATTACTTTAGGACACCAATCGGCCGACACGTCATTTAAAAATCTACGACTTTTACATCCTTTGCCGTTCTTTTCACTTAATTTGCTCGAACTTCTTGTTACACGAATATCATTATCTACTGCATTATCTTCTCGTGAACTGTCCTTTAACGTCCGTACATTAGAAGAATTTTTAGTTGCATTAATACACGGCGACAAATGTTCTAAGTCCTTTCTTTTCTCTTCCGAGAGACACAATCGGTAACGCTGAACTATACATTTATCTAAAGCAATGTTATGCAATTTGATCTCACACGCAGGAAGGTCTCGCAACGCTTTTAACTTGTCTTTATTGCTCGCCGCTGCGCTTTTCCGGTCTTTTCCCTTCGCCATGTCCGATTAACTAGTAATACATACGGTAGGTGCCCAAATGCCTTACGAAAAACCAGTTTTCACAAATCTCTTCCCTGTGTCAATAGCAATAAAATCCTTCGAGCGTCCAAGGGGGCACAACACCCTCGTCGCTCTCTCGGCCTTCTCAAGAGGCGCCGTTACACGTCCCTTATCACTTTGCAGCCACGCGTTATCCGCGAAAGCGCTTCCCAGACACGATACAGGTCGACCTGGCGAACGATACATCGAGGGTTTATAATAAGCGAGGCAAAACGCGTGTCAACGCTACAGAGCTACCGTACGTCTACGCCGGCAAGCCCGGTAGGAAAGGGATAACACAGAGATTAAATTGCAAAGTCAAGCGGCCATTAAGGCCCCGATCTCTCTCGCTCCCTCCATGATGCGATTACGACCGACAGATTCGTCTTACAAGTCGTACGTGAATCACGCCCCTACATATACATACATCACTCCTGCGTTACCTGCGCACAGAGACGTACGAGTATGCACATCTGGCGCGTGTGTCTGCCCCTCGTGGATGGAAACGTCTCGCAGAGGCGGATGGCAAAGGCCCGCGCGGGGATTACCCTGATATTACGTTGCCCGGTCGCGACGCACGCGACTCGCGAAAGCCTCGCTGCCGCGGAAATATTCAAGCGCCTCACACTTCGAGAATCGCAAGCACTTGTATCGATACCGACAGCGGCGCCGCCAACTCGCGTACTACGTGGGGGACACACGGCGCGTCGGCAACATTATCGACGCTCGCATTCCCGACCCCCCGCCGAATACGAAGGGAAATTAAAAGTATCACCATGGGTGCTTTCGCGACGTAGATCAAAATGATCCGTGCTATGATTGGTCAAATCTGAAATTTCGTAGCATCACATTGAAATTTTATTCAATGAAATTCCAGATTTGACCAATCATAGCACGGATCATTTTGATCCGGATCATTTTGATCTACATCGCGAAAGCACCCCATGTGAAGCTGTCACCTAAAGCCTCCGCTACAATGATTCTCGGTTCTGTCTACAATGGTCGTAGTCGTAAGAATAATCGACTGCGATTGGTCAATTCTTATGCGACTGACTGAATTGACCAATCGCAGTCGATTATTCTTACGACTACGACCATTGTAGACAGAACCGAGAATCATTGTAGCGGAGGCTTTACACCTGACTACAATCCACTTTGAAGCCAATTTCAAATTTTTAGCACAAATTACGAATTGAACATTTCACCAATTTCTCTTTTCTGCCAGACTTCCGAACTGAGTGTTTTAAACATGAAAATGTTCCGCTATGCGGTCCGCAATTTGTCCTGGCATTACTTTGCGCATAAAAGCGAATAAAGAGATTTACAATTGTAAAAAGTATACTCGAGCGTGTCGGTAAAAAAGGACGACTTTAGGATCCTCTCGACGGTTGCAAATCTTCGACCGCGAGTGCGCCCGCTTTTACCCGAGAGGGCGCCGCGCGCGAATTCGGATCGAGTCCCCGCAAGATCGATCACCGATGACACTGACCTGCCTTCGACGCACGCGGGCGCGCAACGGCTCGACATGATATTTTCTCGCTCGCCAAAGGCCGCGGATCGTATATTTTAACCGACAGCGTTCAGGGATCGCGACCACCTCCGAGTATGGACTACAAGGACGAGCAGCGCAACGAGATCGAGGCCCTGGAGTCGATCTATTGCGGGGAACTGGAGGGTACGTATCGTCGAGATTCCAACCTGTAACCCCGTATGTCAACGCGAAATGCCTTGCAACAACGATACTCGACTTTGCGTTAACGGATCGAGTACTGCTCGCCGCGAGTAACGCGCGCGTCGTGCAGTTCTAGCGACGGAGCCGTTTTACACGTTTGCCATACCAATCAAGACGGAGGAGTACGAGCCGGAGACCGGCAATGGCCTCGGCTGTCGGCTGGAGTTCACGTACACGCCCGAGTATCCGGACGTGCCGCTGCTCATATCGATCGCGGAGCAAGAGAACCTCGAGGACGGCGACGACGAGAGATTGAAAGCGCATCTGGCGGAGCAGATGAACGAGAATCTCGGGATGGTGATGGTCTTCACGTTGGTCAGCGCCGCCCAGGAGTGGCTCAATGTACAGTGGGACAGGATAAAGCTGAGGAGAGAAGAGACTGCGGCGCAAAAGCAGAAGGAGGAGGAGGAGGCGGAGAGGGTAGGACACGCCTGAATAATTGCCGTCCACGAGAGACGGCAGTCGCGATAATGTTCCCGTTTGCTTTTGTACGCAGAGACGATTCGAGGGGACCCGAGTGACCGTGGAATCCTTCCTGAGCTGGAAAGAGAAGTTCGACGAGGAAATGGGCTACACCAAGCGGAGAGAATTGGCGGAACGCGAGGGCAAGAAGTTAACGGGCCGGGAATTGTTTATGACCGACAAGACGCTGGACCAGTCGGATCTCAAGTTCCTGGATGACGGTAACTTATATTACGTTGTTCTGCAGTTACCTTAAGTCTGACCATCCGCTCCGGAAGATACTGAATATAAATTACGTGTGCTTTTAATCGCATAGGTGACGCCGTGAAAGTGGACGAGAGTCTGTTCCAAAATCTGGACGATCTAGATTTGGACGATGACGAAGACGATCCAGACTATGATCCAAACATCTCGGATGATAGTGCCTAAAACACGTTTGATTCAGTAGCCATCAAAGTGATACGTAGAACCAATTGAACAGGAACTTGCTGAATTCTTACAAAAATAAAGGGGGGGAAAAATGAGTCAAATATATATTTTAAGTACTAGAATTTCTCTCGCAAGCCGGGTACTGTGTCTAGTAAAAAGTGGCAGTAAATCGTCATGGTTGAGACAAGAAAATACGACGTTTCTTCAACCGGCGCTTTATTGGAAGACAATTCATAAGGCGGAATATTTAAGGAATGAGATAATTTTTATACTTGTGTATATATAAATTATGTTCATAAGCTTCGATTATATTAAAGAAACGTATATCTCGTATTAAATATTTGTCTTTTTTCCTGGCATTTATCGCACGATATATATCTGTATATATATGTAGGAACGGTACAAGACAAATGCGTGTCTAACACGAAATAACGACCAGGATTTAACATTTATTCTCATAATCTTTTAACATTATAATTTACATACTTAGCACTAAGTAGTTTTCATAAACGTATTCACGATTTGATGGAATCTATTTTCTGCGACGTACATACTGTCAGGACGTTTATCCATGGCAGCATGATACGCTCTTTCCTGTACACAAACTGCACAGATTCAAGTTCCTTATTTTGTGGCAGTAAAACTGGTTCTACAATAGACTCACAATCAATAAGACCGGTATTCATAGTCCGTTTTTATATTTAAGATCATTCTAAGTATACTCTTAATGTATTGTTAACCAATCACAGAGGCGTATTAGCCTCTTAAGACAACACTTAAGATGACTTTGAAATAAGAATCGACTACGAGTACCGGCCTGAGTCGCACGCCGCAAGAAATCGGCCAATGACGGTCGATTTCTTGCGACTTACGACTTGCTGCATCTATTGTAGAAACAGCGTGATTAATAAAATCGAATCAGCATTACCGACAAGTAGTTATTTCATATAACATAGATGCCTTTTGTCAGAGATTTATTAGATCCGTAACATCCTTTTACAGGATACGAGAATGCACACAAGAATCACAAAGTACAAACATGTTATAAATATTGTGTCGATAGAACGGTTGCTCTTTCCAATACTTTTCCACGGTTTATTGCAGATTGTATGATCACTCCATCGTCAATGAAGTAACTAAGATTAAAATTATTTTGTCATGTTGTTCGCAAATTTTTATTAGCTATATGTTATTTAAAAAGTACTCGTGAAGGAGGTAGAGAGAGGGGGGGGGGGATTAGTTTTTTTACGAAGGATCACGAATCAAATAATTGTAACAAAAAGCAGCTATTCGTTAACTCTAACGGCCTTGAAATACAAAGTAAATGTATCACGCGCTGTGCATGCCACGTAATACAGAATGGTATTGCGCTATTAGAAATAACATGTGCGGTTATTTCCGGTGAATATCTTAAAAAAATAAATAATCTGTAATGTACTGGAATACTTGACAATCCATGTCGAAGTTAGTGAATAGTTGTATACTATTCAAATATGATTCTGCGTTGTGTCAAACATCGCTACGTCGTTACGTTAAATACATAAATAAGTACGTGTTTTATTCGAAGCACATTTAAACGCAAGAAAAAAATCGATAAATTGTAGTTTCTTAATACTACAGAGTACAATACTTGTGTGATCCACACAATAAGTTTATTTTCTGACTACGAGAAATTAAATTAAGAAATTTGTGTCAAAGTGGTCGTCTCATAGTTAGACTCGCCAACGCGGCATAATCTGTTGGGAGAAGAACATAGTTAATTATATGAAACGGTAGCTCGATAAATTTACCTAAGCGACGTGTAAATGTAAGCTTTATATTCTATGTTCGTGTTATATTCGCGTAAATTTTTATAGATGAAAATAGAAATAATTATTTTTAGAAATGTTTGTCCCTGGAAAAGATATTTCCAATCGCTTGGATAAACTTAATTTTGGCGTGTGCAAGTCCAGTATTATTTTTCAAATAATATTTTTAATACGCGTGTATATATACATATATGTATATTCATACTAAATTATAAATCCTTTTGCTCATCAAACAGTTACAATAATTACAGAAGCATATTTCCATCATGTCCATAAGATGTTAATATTGCACATTATACAGCATGCCATTCCCCTAAGCTTATGATATACATACATCTAGAGCCAGATATTAATCTAACAAATGTTGCAACATTAACACAAGATATATTGTCTTTTTCATTCCAAGAATAGATTTCATTCCAAGAAGAATAGATTTCATTCCAAGAAGAATTTATTTTTCCACTGTAGAATTATATTCTTGTTTTCACGTCCTTGTGCTATCTATCCATTGCGTATATATTTAATCTTTAGGACAAATATTTCAGGATATTGTTGGTGATTTATTAATTTAAAGTCTTCATAAAATATTCAGAAACATGTTGTAAAACGTTGTGAAACGTTCCAAATGTAAATTATAAAAATACTGTATATGTACATTGTAAAATATACATATACAGTATATTTATAATTATTTCTAGACTTGTTTATGCATCATTCTATTCTCAAGCTGTAATCAGACTTATAAAAATACTAAAAATTCGAATATACCTTTTTAAAAAGTTATTAGGATTAAATCTGTCGCTGACGTCAAAGAAAGCAATTTTAATTTTTGGGCAATTTTCTTTGATTTAAGTATATTTATTAAAAAGTGTTTTAAATAGTAGTAAAATAATCAAAATATAAATCTACATATAAATAATGCAAAATAAAAATTGTCGAGCTAAAAGCGTGTGCCTCGGTCTTCGTTGAAGTTTTGGAAATTGATTCGCTTCAGGTTGTTTTACGGTTTCACGCGGTAACTTCAAAGGATCTTCGGGAAGGGAGGTGGAGAAGGATATTTTCATGTCCTGGTATCGTCCGTAAATGTGAAGTCGGGATACCTAAACATACATTATTAAACATCCGGCTGTGAAATAACCGATCAGATTTTTCAGAAAGTTTATAACGGAAAAGTTTCAAAATTGAACTATTATTCTGATAAAAAGAGTTATTATTATCCTGCTATTATTCTGACGTACATACATTTTTGTCCAGCATCAAAATGTGTAAAATAATAAAAATACAATGTATTTTTACTGCAAATGCAACACACTTTTTTTAGTCCTTTTCAACCGTTACTCCAATAACAACTGCTAGTTTTAATATTGGTACATAACTGAAGGACATTAGAATATTACATTGTTAGCTTATTGCGTTAATAACATCGTTAACAATTGAGTCATGCCGCCATGTACTGTATTAGCGTTTCGTGTAATTTGTAGTGAAAGCACTGTGGCGTTAGTCATCTGATGAAAGAATTTCTCTTACGATTAAAACTATTTATGAGTTGTGTTGCCGTTTGCATATGCCGTGAGTGACATTGATTACAAGCTGAAGAGACATCGATATTTTTATCATTAAAGATAGTAATGATAGCCTGCAACTATCCCGGCCGATGAAATCCGCTACAGGTGTTTTAAATTGTGACGGATTTCTATTGTGTCTCTGAAAAAGATTAATTCAACTTCAGCGGTCTCCACCGAAATTTATTCGTTTCACTGAAACGAGCAAATCAAAAAGAGGGCAACACTGCGGAGGATACATCATATAGATGAAGTGGATGGTTATATCGTAAAATATCTAAGCTTGCTAAGTCTATTCATTAGCGAGTAACATAACATTCTCATTCTAAGAGAATAAATCATTATTAAAAGAAGCATAAAGTCGAACAATTAATTTTATCATTGCTTCTGCTGCAAATACTTTACGAAATACATTTCCAAGTATGAATTTATCAGCAAGCAAAATAAATTAAAAAATCAGCAGCAAAATTAATTCAGTCATTTTATGAAGCTTTATATAATCGTGGAAAAATGCAAACAAAAAAAATGAAAAAGCGATGCGCAACGTGCATCAGAACAAATCAAAAGGCAAGATTCTTCATAAGTCTTCTAAAAGATTTTCACTGCAAGCAGACTTACTACTACCTACTCGTTCATGCTGTCTATAGAATTGCTGCGACACTACTTATTACAACTAATTTTGACATTTATCTATCTAATTCTTCGGTCCTACGGCTTATAAAAATGATAAATTTTACTTTATTGAGTGCGTCGTTACGTGGTTGGGAGAACTGACATAGAATCGTGGAGTTACTATCGTACTTACTTTTCTGGCAAGATACGTGGCTTGGCATAATCGCCCGGCCATTCGTACAGATTTGGCAGTGGACTGTCATAGTTGCAATCGTACATCTTACTCATGATAAATTGCCTCTTATCTTTCGGCTCCGGATACTCGCTTGCCAAACCACCTACAGGTATAACGATAGGCAATAATACCAGCTGGCATTTTACATACAATTCCGAAATTGCAACACCTACCTTTCGCGTAAGCGTATTCCGCTATTTTAATTGCGATGTCGATAGAACACTCGCGAATGTTATTTAACGGCGGGTAGAGACTACCCCTTTCGAGATCCTCATTTTTCACGTGATCGGCGACGCACTGTGCCGAGATCAGGAACAAATCTTCGGTGATGTGATGCACCCCGGTCGCGATTACGCCTAGAGCAATACCGGGGAAGATGTACGCGTTATTACCCTGTCCAGGCTTGTACGTCTTTCCATTGTATTTTACTTCACCGAATGGCGAACCCGAGGAGAATACGCATCTACCCTGAAAGACAGAACGAGTCAATTCGATACGCCGAAAGGTAGAGCTGTCGTTTCTCTTACGTGAATTATAATTATATTATATTCATACGTCGGTATGATCATACGCTTGCTGCGCCGTACATTCAGCTTTGCTGGTTGGATTACTCAAGGCGAAAATCAACGGCCTCTCGTTATTTTTTGCCATTTCCTTTAAGACCTCAGGAGTAAACGCCCCAGTCGCCGCCGAAGCGCCTGTGCAAACATGTCAGTTCTGTACCAGGATCGTATCTCTTTTCGAACAAGTTTGCTTACCTATCAAGACGGAGGGCTTGATCTCTTTCACGACTTCGATCAACGTCTTCATCACTTTGTGATCCTTCGCGTACCAGACCTTGTGGCCCTCCAAATTACCTTCGGGCCGATTCTTTACGAGCAACCCGTCAATGTCCATCATCCAAATATTATCGCGCGCCTGCTGCTGCGTGCAACCGTCAGCCTCCATCGCTTTGACACACAGATCAGCTATTCCAATAGCTGCCTGCAATTGAGTAGAATAAATCACGACCTCAAGGCGAACGCATAAATACTTAATATCTTTGGAATAAGGCGCCATCTCGAAAAACAAACCTCTCCGGCGCCAAGGAAGACGAACTTATTGTCTCCCATTCTTTTCTTAGTTATTCTTTGCGACGCCAAGATTCCAGCCACCGCAACCGCGGCCGTACCTTGTATGTCGTCGTTGAACGTGCAATACTTATTTCTGTACTTGTCTAAGAAACGGAAGGCATTGTGGTTTCCGAAGTCTTCGAACTGAAACACACAAGGTGCGCAATGTTACCAAGTCGTAGGATCATTTGACAAGATTCGGGTCAAAGACCCGATAAACAAATAACGTTTATATAACGTATTAAAAAGGGTACACACGGTAGTTACGTATGTTAGCTTACTTGAATAAGAACGTTTTGTCCGTACTTTTGCACGCAGGCAGCCATAAACTCGTCGATTAATACGTCATACTCGGCACCTTGGCTCCTAGGCTTGTTAAGACCGATGTAGTGAGGATCGTTTCTCAGCTGCTCGTTGTTAGTGCCGACATCGATAGTGATCGGGAGACACTGATGCGGCTTGATACCAGCTAGAGCCGTGTAAAGCGCCAGTTTTCCAACTGGGATACCCATGCCGCACGCCCCGAGGTCGCCGAGGCCTAAAATGCGCTCGCCATCCGTCACGCAGATGGCCCGCACCGCCTGTTCCGGCCTAAAAATACGACGGAAACGGTCAATGGTGGACGTTGAAGAAAACACGCCATACAAAGCAATTGATCTTTCTCTCTCGCTTCGCGTTTGTAGCGCGGTGAAAAAAAACGTGCGATGCGTGTGATGCGTGGAACTCTATTTTTAGCGAATGCCAAACGCGCGCACCTTCCGCTTAAGCCTCTACAGAGTGTCTTTTAACAACTGTCCTTGCCTTGTGCCAGTGACTTTTTCACCAATGCGACTTGTGAGAAGAAACGATAAAAAGATAACGCAAACGTAACTCTCGTACTTTTTTTTTACAGACAGGGCAATAATAACATCTCGCAGTATCTCTCCTTTGATACTAACCAATTATTCAAGATCTCGTAAATATGGCCCTTATCGTATATAGTAATGAAAAGTCCGCGAGGTCTACGGTATATCACGCCAAATTTTTGGCAGGCCAAACCCACGGTAGGAGTATAGACAATCGGCATCATCTGCTCGATGTTTTCGCTCAACAAGCGAAAGAATAATCTTTCGTTCCTCTCCTAGAAATTATTCCGAAGAAATTAGGGACCAGGAGACTCCCCGGAGTTGACCGGTAGGTGCCGAGAAGAGGCGCTATTTACCTGTAGCTCCACAAGATACAAATATCGATTCAAGTCCTCCGAGTATTTCATTACTGAAGCTTTGCACAGTGCTAGCTGTTCCTCCTGCGTCTTAAATCGAGGCGGCTGCAGCCCGTGTATGCCGAGGGCTATTCTTTCTCTCAGGGTGAACGCCAAGCCCTGCAATTATCACGGGAATATGCACGCTGTGAGGTCGTGTGTCCGCTGTACCGGAGGAGAATTCACACCAAGGGCGACGCTACGGTACCTTGTTCAGCCGGGGATCCCTGAGGTGACCGATACCCTTCACCATATTTATCGGTACCACGTCTCCCGAAACCTCGTGGATGTCCCTCTGTGGAACGTCCCTTACGGCGACGTGCGAAGGTGGCAGCGTCCGCGTCCATGATCCCCCGCAATTTCTGCTGCTGGCCGATCTAAAAATATGCGTGGAAGACTTGTGTCTCGCGTCAAATTGCATGCAACGTGCTTAATGCCTCGTAATAAAAACAAAAGAGTCAAATAATTTTGACAATAATTTCTTTGTAATTTTGACTTTTATTTAAGTATGGACCAATCTCGTTATGCGGCCATTACATTTTCTTATTCTTTCTAATACATTCATGTTTTATTTACTAGTTTTATTGTAATTTTAATCTCCGACCACTCTGCATCTAATTTTGCCTGAAGATGAGCCAAAAATAGGTTCGAAACGTTCGTTCGATCGCTCTATTATAATATATTATTATATTTTTCTGCGTGGAAAACTTGTGTCTCGCGTCAAATTGCATACAATGTGTTTAATGCCTCGTAAAAAAAAAAGAGTAAAATAATTTTGAGAATGTCTTTGTAATTTTGACTTTTATTTAGGTAAGGACCAATCTCATTATGCGGCCATTGCATTTTATTATTCTTTTTAATACATTCATGTTTTATTTACTAGTTTTATTGTAATTTTAATCTCCGACCACTCTGCATCTAATTTTGCCTGAAGATGAGCCAAAAACAGGTTCGAAACGTTCGTTCGATCGTTCTACTATAATATTGTGTTTTTCCACATAACACCGTCTCACCTTCTTAATTTGTATCGGTAAACTTAATACACCTACAACATTTGGCTCTCACTGTCCCCTTTTCACTTTAATTAGAATGAGAATGAGTTTAATTGTGATGGTTAAATTTGGCCGGTGATATTTTTCACAATTATTTGCAGCGGTTTAAAGGGCGGCTTATTAGCATCCTTGTTGGATAAATCGATCGTCGATTCAATCATATGAATTGTAACGAGATTGTGTTTCGTGTCCGACAAATGATCGGCGCGCAGTTTGCGGTGTGGATATATTAATTATACGTATATTAATTCACACAGAAAAATATTGTTAAGTTTACAATTAGACAAAGGTCCGACGCAGTCGAAAAGGCGCTTCTCTGTTCGCTCGATGGTATTCGTACGTTCAAGTTTCGCATTTTATCGTTTTATTTTATTTTATTGTCGATAAAATAAAACCTGCTGCGCAACATCAAGACCGCTGCCAGTTATCGCAGTTAACTCGGTGAGTCATTTCGTGAAAAAAGTTAGCGAGCGTGAGAATCCAATGGAGAGAGACGACTGTTTTTTCCACGAGAGCCCACGATTGTATTTTCGGACGCTCGTTAAAGAACGGCGAGCAAGTGGCGAGGTGTCGTTCGACGGGTCGACTTTAATTTAGGAAATGGCAACGGGACGTCGAGCCGTCAGAGAAACGGCAGATATGTAAATCGCTCTTATCGCGAACGCGCTTTGAGCCTCGTCAGTCTCGACGCGATAGATTTCACATTACACGAACATCTAGCAACAAAAGTATCGCGCGAATGTTTAATTCACGGGCCGGTTGAAATTCACGGGGACAGAGTTATGTAAACCTTGTTGACACGCGCACACGTGTCCTCTCATTAACATTCATTAGCGCGAGGACGGCGCGCGCGTTTTCGTTTAGAAATGATATCAGATACGGGGCGAGGAACGCGGCGATTCGCGCATTCAACATCGTAATCCCGCGCGATGATTCCCTCTTCATTGTTCGTCGATGATAAAGTCGGCGACGACCGCACGCATGACTTAACTGTAGATAGGGATTGGTCAGATTAGATAAGAATTCGCGGAAGCAGCGCAAAGTGCCTTTCAGGCTCGCCGGTGCGGCACCTCAGATCGTGCATTACATAGGATTAGATGCTCGATCAATGAAGCTGCAGGTGGAGCACGTTGCGACCTAACGTGCGCAACAATTCCCCCCCCCCCCTTCTCTCTCTTATCATCCTTTTTATTATACTTGCATTCCCACTCACAGGTTTACTTTTTTGTGATTTTTGCTCTTATACTTTAGAGGACTGAGCGTGTAATGAGTAATGATTCTGATTCTCTCTCTTTCTCTCATCCTTTTTATTTATGTAAATACATTTTATTGATTCCCCCAAACCTCTTATAGTACCTCTCTCTATATCCATTTCACTATGTGGCGATCGAACGAAAACGAACAATGTTTGGTCTTGAAACCGGGTCTTCGGATTACCAGACCAGCGCACAATCCTCTGCGCCACGATCGCCACATCCTTTTTATCATACTTTCTCATTTCTAAATATTTCTCATATTATTTCTTACGTATTTCATATATTTCTCATTGTATATTACCTTTTGTAACTTTTGCTTTTACACTTCAGGTAACTTGTCCCAGAGCGTGTAATAAATAATGATTCTGATTCCCCCCCTCCCTCTCTCTCTCTCTCGTTTCCAGAAAGCGAAATCAAGCGGCACGAAGCAGTTTCTGTGTCTTTTCTTCCCCGGAAATTTACACCTGAGAAATGATAACGGCATCTCGCCTTTAAAGCCCCGCGACGTTGCGAGGCGCGGTCACGTGCGTTTTGTGCGTGCCCGCAATATTATTCGCGACGACGGCTTCCCGCCGCTTGAACGACCAAAGCGGGCTACGCTATTATTATTTTCGTGGCATAAGGCCAATTTTGCAGAAACGACCGAGGTGCGAAAGCTGCCGCGAGGCGCTGGCGTGTGTGCACCTACACGCCTTTCTTTCAGTCGTAATTTCGGGATATGGAAAATCGCGTTAGCACGTAGCCCGCGCTAACGCCAGTGCGGCAGCTCGAGTCCATGTCGACGCATTTTTCTCACGGAACAGAGGCGCGCTGTTCTAAATTGAGGTGGGCTCGCGTAAACGTTCGCGCTTTCAGACACGCATTTTGTGTTTTCGTCGGCACCGGAAATCAGATATATTGATATTTCCATGTATATCTGCGAACCTGGTCGCATTACAACGCGGATGTGGAGTAAACGCACGCATCGCAGCTGTGCCGTCGATCGTGAGACACATTGTGTCACTGGCATCGTGTTGGAGTAGCCGCTCCGACCTGTTAACACGTTGGCTGTCACGTCGAATTCGCTCGAAAATCCCGCCAGGCCGCTGCTTAAGCAGCAGTCATCCTCTGCTACTGCACTTGAACCCCGAAATATTAATCCTAGTCTGTCGAAAGATCTGTCTTTCATTTTTATAATTCATTTTGTCGGTCGGAATTCGTCCTTATCTCAACATCATCCCAAGTAATAGTCTTAAGATGCTAACGCGGTTCCGCGATTTACAACGCGCATTAATAAACAGGAGAGTCACCTGTTAGGAGACGGGCTCCTAATATGAGACAGCGGAGTTTCTGCTAAATTAATAGGCATCATCGGTTGGTTCCGCCAGGAATTTATTGCCCTTGGGGTGAAATCTGTTTGGTGGACAATTGATCGTTAGATCGTCCAACCGTTGCGAAAAAAGATTTGTGATTGAATTCGGAAATCTACTATCTCATATTAGAATCCTATCTCATAATCAGAGGACTTTCCTCTACTCAAGATCTTAAATATAAGAAGGAACTATAAATACATGGAATTTTCTTGTGAAATTTATCCTGAAAATCATGTAATCGTGGGACGACATGGCATTTCGGAGAATTTTATGAGAGTTTCTTGAAATTTTACCACACATTTTACTAGTAAAGTGGCCTAGTTTACATCGTCAAAACGTTAGTACGCGTATTAAGTTTAGTGCGCATCAATGCTTTAATACGTGTGCGTTTACATCGAATCACATCGAGTGTACCAACCGGAAAAAATAATACGAATTTAATTCATGTCGATTGCCTCTATGGCCTAGTTTACATCGATCACTTGGTACGCGTATCAAATAGTAAATAACTAGTAAATCAGTTTTATCATTGGCTGATCAGCTCAAATACACTACTTGATACGCGTATCAAGTGCACGATGTAAACTAGGCCTATAGTACTTGATACGCGTATCAAATACACGATGTAAACTAGGCCATAGTCCGTTCTTATATTTAAGGGAATGCTGGAGCGATTCTGCACTTTTGGCACCCCTTGCTCCTAGAACTGTCAATTCGTGAAAACATTTGTGTACGAACCGACAGTGTTCCACTATTCGGACTAAATCAGAGAACAGCGTGGTATCATTGAAATTGAGTTTAGAAGCCTAACAAAAAATCTATTCACACGAATAAGTTATTGGTTGCTTAATTACTTAATTACCGCATAATTTGTATATTAGACAAATGCTTTCATGAATTGACAGTTTTAAGAGCAAAAGGTGCCAAAAGTGCAGAATCACTCCAGCATCCCCTTAAGATCATCTTAATTACTAGCAAAATTACTATAATTACTATAATTACTAGCAAAATGTATGGTAAAGTTAAAAAAAACCTCATAAAGTTCTTCAAAGTCTCTCCGTGTACCGGCCACCGGGTTTTACTGCTTCCGATCGAGTAAATAAAAATTGTCATCCTTGATGACGCGGTAATCAATATGTTAAATGGTTCGTGGCGAGATTCGCGGAGGCCTCCCACGTGAAACAACCTCCCGCCGTTGCAGTTTCTCCTCATTATCATTAAACGAGCGAAACTATACACTGCTGGCCAAAAGTTTGAGGCCATTAGTCGCAAGTGTCCGCTATATAAAATCCAATCAAGCCTGGGCATTATAATTTAACATATTTTTGCTCTATTTTGTTCATCGTTTTATAATAAAGTGAATGATGTAAAACAACGCTTGAAGAGTCCGCGAAAAATGTTCGCTACAACATGGAAGGAATATTAGACACACCTTTCGTTAAAACGACTGTCTCCTTTAATCGCTTTTTTTTACCAATCCAGGTAATCCAGCTACAAGTTGATTAATTTTTTCCCCGACTCTTTTATCCATCGCCTAAAATAGCCTATGACTCGGTTTTGGGGAAAAGGCTTTGCGACTGTAGACCGGTTTCTTGTAATTACACAATGCTACAACGTCGAGACAGTAACTGTGCTAAATATAGCGTCGATTTGCTTTTAAATTAAGAAAAACAAAATTAAGTAAGGCTCGGATCAGACTTTTAAATAGCGTTTCGCTGGAATATTTTTAAATCTTACACGTGGTCCCTCGAACTTTTGGCCGTACGTGTCGCGCTTCGCGATGTTATAACGCCTACGCCTGCTGTCGCGTGGATAAACAGATTAAGCAAAAAGTCAGCTGACTCGATAAAAAATAAGTCGCTTCGATAAAAAAAAATCAATAAATGAGACAAAGCGTATCGATTTACACGCACGCGGAATAATCCCAGTGTTGTAATTACGCGGCTCGATGTATCTTATAAATATCCGGCAGGCGAGTCATCGGTGACGTAAGGCAAGAGCTCAAACATGACGTAACCGAAGTTGCTGCGACAGTTGTGTGGAGGTGTAGCTGTTATTATGTTACGTATCCCAACCCTTTCTACAGCCCCGGTCGATCGACCGCGATGCTTTTCACATTGATTGACGTGTGCCCTCGCGACGTTTTAAATGTCCTAAGGAAATTCGACGTCGGACTGTACCAGAATAAATCAAATTGTTTAATGTACGAGGCCATTATGGCCCGGTGTTTCATTTTCTGGTCGATTGTTAACCGGCGGTTAGTCGATTCTCTGTCCCTTCTCATTGTATTAGATAACAGCATAGAAAAAGATGGAGAGTCGACCAACTTCTGGTTAACAGTTAACCAGAAAATGAAAAACCGGGCCTAAGGCCGGTATTGAAATAAAGTAAGTCAGATCTTAGAGGAAAGTCCTCTAATACGAGATAGCAGGTTTTCAGCACCCAAATTCAATCACAAATCTTTTCTCGCGACGATCACACAATCCAACGATGAATTTTCTGCACTAAACAGATTTCGCCCCAGGGGCGACAAATTCACGGTGGAATCAACAGATGATGCTTGTTAATTCAACAGAAACCCCCGCTCTCTCATATTAGGAGCCTGTCCCGTAATAAGGAAACTTTCCTCTATATTCCAGACCGTGTCAAGATCACCTTTAGACACTCCATAGGCAATGAAACGTTTCATGCAGCATCTTTAGATGAATTCAAGACGATCTTGAATATAAGACCCGATCATGAATACTGACCTTACACAGTAAAAAATAAAATGTTAACAATTTTCACATGTCCCAAAAAGTTCACTAAATTCGAAGTTAAAATAACATTTATCGCGTGCGTTACGTTTCAGGTTATTATGTTAACATAAATGTGTTACGAAGTGTCAGGTTATTATGTTAACATAAATATAACACATAAAAATGTTACGAAAATGATAACATATTTGCTTTATGTTAATTTTACATTGAAATAATAATCAAATCTTGGTAACACAAGAAGATTTTAACATTTTAACACACGATTTTTTACTGTGCGGTCAGTCAACGAGCTCTCGGTTAAGGTAAGAGGAGACTCGCGCCGATTATCCCCAATTACCTAGATAAGTAAACCGCGCAATTTGCCGACTTTACGTCTAATACTTAACTCACGTTATGTTGTGCCACTTACGAAGCGAGGGGATACGCGCAAAATTGTCGTATTACCAGGAGGCGATACTCGAACAGTCTGCCCGTGCGATCGATCAGGCGCATTTCACGAGCCGCGGATGAGGCACACGTGGGGTATCGTAAATCGGATCGGGCGAGGCCGCGCGACATTTATTATCAGACGTTGACTTCTTACCGCGAACAGGATAGGACCACCCAGGCGAAAGGCGCGTCGCGCGATCGCGCCGATCGTTTCTCCGTTATCGATTGTCTCGAAACCACCCGCGGATAAATTCAAGGGTAACGACGCACCGCGCGTTCACAATTAATCGCGACTGATTAACCGCGACGGCCAAGGGAATGAAAATAATTCAAGGCACGCGCGAGTCTTCTCTGAGAGAATTATTTATATTAAGGCCTGCGTCCACGATGCTGGAACTTGGTCCATGTTCTAGTTCCGAGAAAAACGTGTAGCCAATCGACTTGCAGCTTTTACGGAATAGCCGCAAGTTGATTGGCTACACGTTCCTCGAGACTAGAACTTGGACCATTCTAGCATCGTGGACGCAGGCCTTTAGAATTGCATTCCTACTCGTGCTGGGTATTGATTGTAACAATCAGGGGAAATCGTGTGCTGGTCCAGTACTTCGATAATCTGTGCAAAATAATCATTTAAAAAAGTGAGATAAAAATGACGGACGCGCGTGGCATTGAACATTTGTGCGTTAAAAGATGTGATATCAAGAACTGGTGCCGATTTGTAGCAAAATATATCTAATGCTTCAACATTTTGTACTCTCACACATTGGTGAATAAATCCTTTATATTTTCTACAATATTTGTACAATATTTATTTTTCGCTTTTACTTTCAAAACTCGAAGTACCTCGTACACGACAGGCGATATCAATTTAATTATACATTGAGTAAAACTCATAAAACTCGCGGATGCTTTGCGGCTCATCGATTTGCTCAAATTTAATTCGATTTTTATGTTCGTCGCTTCCGTCCAGATTGTCCAGGCCTGAAAACAGTTTTGCTGAATCGGTTCGACGTCCGCCGTTGAGAATGAGGTCTTTCTGCGATTCTTCGCGCGTGACTAATCCCCGAGAAAATGATCGCTAGGTATCTAGAAGCCCCGCGCGCGCTCTCCCTCCATCCATCGTTTACCCGAGCGTACGTCCCTGGCGCGGCAGTTTCCGGAACGGTCGCCGTTTTTGCCTTGACTTTGAGTCGCGAGATTATTCACGACTCCGTCAGTTTCCACTTGGCGATATAGAACCGACGCGGCGATTATCGTGGGAAGTGACGTCGCGTCACGCTCGATTTAATTCCGAGAAAATGCGGGGAACAGCGAGACAACGGCGAAAACGTCGCCGCGAAGGTCCCGAGCGAGGATTCGCTGCGAGTATCAACGTTTCCGAGCGGAGAAAGGGCATGAGCATAATGGCTGTCTTGTACTCCTAAGACATGTACTACGTTTTAAATCTTTGTCTGAAAGCGACGCACAATAACGGCCTGAATGGCACTTTTAAGACGGCGTTTCGTACCGTAAATTTCTGTCTTCAAGTCCGGCATTCGTGGTCAGATCTTATATTCAAGAGCGTCTTGAATTTATCTAAAGATGCTGTACGGGACATTTCATTGGCTATGGAGTAAGTACCTAAAGACGATCGTAAGACGCTCTTGAATTTAAAGCCAACGGCACACGATACAATTTTTCCTACTGGATTGCTTACGAGAGCCAATCAGAATGCAGAGTTTTGGATCAGGTGACTTAAGGCTGAATCCTGATTGGCCCTCGTGAGCAAACCAGTAGGAAAAGTAGTATCGTGTGCCGTTGGCTTAAGACTCGACTATGAATACCGACCGAAGTGACGCACAATAACTGTCTCAGACATTCCGCTCAGGCTGAAACGCTGAAAAAGCGCTGACGATGAAAATACCGACCGAAGTGACACACAATGGCCGGTATTCATAGTCGATTCTTAAGCCAACGGCACACGATACTATTTTTCCTACTGGTTTGCTCACGAGGGCCAATCAGGATTCAGCCTTGTCTGTCTCAAGAGGCTGATACAGCTCTGCGATTGGCTATTGACACATTAACCTGTGGAGGGCCGGCACTTTTCAATTGTTTGTAACTTTTTAAACAGAAAATTTATGCACACATGTAATCTACGTGTGCCGCAAGGTTTTCAAGTTTGCTCCTGGCCGCTGTAGCGGCCAGTCCGGCCCGCTAAAGGTCAAGAGTATCCGTAAGATTATCTTAAATATAAGAACGGCCTATGAGTACCGGTCAATAACTTGTCTTGTGTCTCAAGAGCAGCCGGACATTCCGCTCAGGCCCAAACGCTGAGAAAGCGGATCCTCCGAGAGAACGGAACGGCGCCGGGGAAAATCGCGATATATAAGAATCACGTCGCGGTTTTCATCGCACGATCGACCGAGTTCGCGACCGCTCGAGGGAATCCGCAGGAACCTGAAACCGCGAAAAATCTTATCCAAGCGTCCCCGGCACCGATGTTCAATCGACCGTGTCAATACCCCTCGGCGACCCCCGCGAGAAGGGCGGCTCCGCGGAGCGCGACGGGACCCTCGGGGCCGTCGCGCGGGACAAGAGGAGCCGATTCCGACGACGGTCACGGCCGCCGCGGCCTTCGGGCCGCGCGAAGGCCGAGGCGGAGGGACGGTTTCGGCAGGGAGCGGCGGGAACACCTGGACGAAGACGAACCTGGCGGGAGACGCGGCCTCTCGCCACCTCGCGTATCGATCGTCGCTCGTCGGGGCGCTAACCATTTTCAGCGGCGCGTCCTCGCGAGGCCCCGGTGCCGCGAGGTCGGGTCAGGTGACAAAACACGCGCACGGCGGTCCCTTTTTCCCGGGGCGGGGAGGGGGCGCTCGTGCCCTCCGCCGACCCGCATCCCGAGAGAAGGGTCTCGGAAGGGCGCTCGCCCTCTCCCTCCCCCTCGTCGCACGTCATTCGGTAATCGGGGTCGACGGGGCCGCCCGCGGCACTGACGGCACGGTCCCCGCGCGCGCGAAGGCCGCGTGCGAAAATTTCCCTCCGGGTGTACTCACAATATAGACCTCTGCAGGACGTACATCTCGCTCTTCCTCGTGTGCACGCAGCTGATCACACCTCCCACCCGACAGGATCGGCGCGCGACTGCGCGTTCTCGGAGGTGCCGCTGGCCGCGCACCGCGCCAGCAGCCGGCCGCGCGCGCGTCGCGCTCGCGTCGCCGAGGGTTCCGCGACGCGAGCGTTTCGCCGCCCGAGGCGGCGTAGGCGCGCGCCGAAAGGTGCGCGCCGATCCCGGGCGGATCACGCCCGGTTATTCGTGTATTTGCACGTTGGGTACCCGCTGTCTCGTATTAGAATCCTGTCTCACGATAGAGGAGACTTTCCTCTACGTTTATACGCGAGGATCCCGGAAATCAATTGCGAGGAGACCGCCGACTTCTCGGCTTCTGATTCGTATTTCCGGTCGGTTGGCCGATCGATTAGTCGCCCGAAAAACACAGCTGATCGTTTTGTGAATACGGAAAAGGTTTCTCTTTTAAATTCGAAGGGACAGAGACTTCTTTTTTTTAAGGATGTATCGGACCTATCGTCAAAATAGTACAAAGTCGCTAAAAATTTGTGAAATTGTTCTTTTAGTCTTCCTAGTTTATTGCAGAAAAGTAAAAATGCATCCACTAAACGGTTGCTGAGATATAACTATTTTAATTTACACTGATTTTACACGTACTCTTATGGGAAAAGCCGATCTTCACGGATAATAAAAAAATGTAGAAGAAATAGTACCAGTGTTGTGAATTTTTTTATACATCTGGTATACGAATAGATGAAAATATATCTACCAAGTTTCAATAGTCTTTACTGCACCGTTTTAAAGAAATAAAATATAATAAAATATAACTTGAGATATTCGTGCTGTCGGCATGAATTTTTTAGTTTTGAAAATATTTGACGTTATTAAGAATTGAAATTAGAGTATTTTCACTATCAAAAGTTTGGGCTCATAAATGAAAAAAATCGCAAATAATTCAGGAAAAAACATTTGTAAAATGAAAAATACCTTTGTAGGAGTACAAATAAACCAACTATCGTTCAAGTTTCTTACATCTAGATTTACTATGCGTTAAGAGTAGATATTTAAGTATTTCCAATTTCATGCACTTTTGTCTAAGATTGTACGTCCAATACATCCTTAAATTCTTTATGAATTAGCGTAGTCCGCGCGAATTAAACTTTAAAGGCATTCTTTTCTGTTGCAGACTCTTGTGGAGAAGCAAGACTTTTGTATCTGAAAGAGAGCTCGAAGCAAGCGAATTCCGAGACGGAGAGAGAATTTGTAATGCACAATTTTCGCAGTTCGACAATTCATCAAGAATTCTCTTTAAGTTCTCTGGACAATCTTCGATCGCATCCCATTTGAAAGGATTCGAATGATATTGACACGGAAAGACACCCCTCGTCGAATTTCTCCGGCAGAATTAAATTTAAAGCTAAACTGCGAATTAATTGTATTTTCAATACACGGAATCACCAGCTGCATTCAGGACGTATACAGGTATGCATTTAACTTGAAAAACATTTAGAAACTTTTACCATTTTAAGGATGTAGTTGTTAATCTCGCACGCTGTAAAGAAATTTTTACCGCATATGAAGCAGGTGATCCCGGAAAAAGTGTTTTCATATAAAAGTGTAATTATACGTTTTCTCTGTCCGTGTAAGAGCAATGATTGACGAATAATTAGAAAAAAATAATTATCATATTGTGTTTTTCAGGCGTGCACCAAGTGGAAATTTTATCGGCAGAGTCCGAAAGTGCGCAATGAAATAGTTCCAAGAGTAAAAATGGGCGTAAGAGCGCGCGAAACAGTCTCCCGAAACGATATCGAGTAAAACGCCGGCGTGGCCGCTCTCAAGCCTATCACACAATGCCCAGGCAACAGGCAGCAGGAATAGGGAATAGAATCTTTGACGCGTTGGATTCGTCGGAAATTTCCTTCCTACCAATTCAACGCGTCAGAAATTCTATTCTCTGTTACCTGTCGCCTGGCATTGTGTTTGGGCCTTAAGGTTTCTCTCTGGCCGTGTACAGCGTTAAGGCCTGTGTCCACGATGCCAGAACTTGGACCAAGTTCTTGGATTGAGAAATTTGTAACCAATCAATTTGTAGCTTTTACGGAAAAGCGGCAATTTTATTGGCCACACGTTTCTCGGACCAAGGACTCGGGCCAAGTTCTAGCATCGTGGACATTGGGCTTCAAGCTCGTATCAGACTACGGATTGATATTGGGATTAGATTGAAATTTGACCAATCACAGTAAAGTTTACTAATCTCAAGTTTAGTAACTTTTACTCTAAAGGCCTGTATCCACGATGCTAGAACTTGGTTCAAATTCTAATTCCGAGCAATGTGTATAGCCAATCAACTTGTAGCTTTTATGGAATAGCTGCGAGTCGATTGGCCACACATTTCTCGAAACTAGAACTCGGACCAAGTTCTAGCATCGTGAACACAGGTCTTAGTCCCAGTCTACAATAGATGATTTAAGCCCTAAGCTTTAAGAAATTGGCCAATCACGGTCAAGTATGAGTAGAATGCGCGACTGTGATTAGTCAATTTCTTAAGGCTTAGGGCTTAAATCTCTATTGTAGACTGGGACTTAAGGTTTCACCAACGCTGTTTAACTTTAAGCTCAGCTTAATTCGTTCTTTGTCTCTTTTCAACTGTTACTTTAGAAAGTGACAGAACGTGAATTAAACCGAGATTAAAGTTAAGCTACGTTTGGCGAAACCGGGCCTAATTGGTCAATTTTCAATCTAATCTCAATCTCAATCCGTAGTCTGATACGGGCTTCACATATTACGCCAGCGAGAAATGATTCGAGATAAATCCACGTCAATTTTTGACAGTGTCGATATCGATTCGACGAGTCATTTCTCACGTGACGCCAGGAGTTTCGGACTGTTTCGGACACCGCAATGGCGAAATTAAAGGTGAGCGAGATTAAAATTTGCCTGTAAATAACCTCGGTTCGAATCTAAATGGCCAAGAAGGCGAAATTAAGAGCGGAAACGGACTGGAGCTCCCTACAATTCCATTTTTATTGCTTCTTAAGGCCTGTGTCCACGATGCTAGGACTT